AAGATCCACGCGGTGAACCCGAAGACCCGACCTTTTCGGGGTAGCCAACGGCGACAGTACAGTCATACTTGAGAGCATTTGTCCGTGCCCACAAAGCACTGATGCCGGATCCCGACGGTTCGAGAAAGGGCTGGATTTCTTCTAGGGACTTGAAGTTGTATCCTTTGCGCAATGTTAGTTCCCACGTGGAATGACCGTGGTGCTGAATGAGAAAATGGAGGCTGCTTACCAGAAAATGCCATTTCAGGAAGAACAAGTAGGTCTAGATCCTCCAATTCCCTTTGATTGGCCTTGGCCAAAACGGCGTCGGCACGACTGAGGTTGTTGGAGACATCCCCAACCTGGGGCGCGAACTGAAGACACCCGATGCGCATGATGACGATGGAAAATAGACTGGTAGGTTGATGTTTCTATTTTTTTTTCCCCGGTGGGTTTGACTTATTATGTGGTCGAGCGTGCGTTGTTGGCGCAGCAAGCGTTGTCTCGTAACTGCCGTAGACGCTGCTTTAGTGCTGACCTTGGCGACAGTGAGGCCGAAGGATCGGAATTATCCAGAGCTGATGGTGTTGAAAAAACGAAGGATATTTAAAAGATATCTCGTTGAGGGGGGCTTGCGGAGACGGTCGGAGCTGTGCCTCGTACTTCTGGATCAAAGACAAGACAGGCGAGAAGGGGCGGTAGAAACGGCACAGTTGGCGTAAAGGGCTGAGGCGTTGGTTGCTTCCGTCCTTCGTTGGATTGAAATCCTCTTGCTCACGTCCTTCTCGTTTCGTTGAGCTGGAAAGTGTGGTGACACGGGGGCGTCTTGGACCTCCGCTAGGATAACTTTGGACCCTTTTGCCCAAGAATGTATGCGGGCGTCCAGGTGGTGTAAGAGGCACGAACTGCACTCTTTCTTTCTTCTTGTTTCGTTTCGAATTCGATGCAACTGAAAAGAGTCGGAAGCAGAGAACAAGTGGAAGATGGAGACGGTGGGCGCATGGAAATATGCAACACAGCAGGACGCTTCCACCCCGTACCTAGAGCTTGTGTCACGGTTCGTACTTCACGGCATTCTTTCGGGCGATGAGAAAACTGATCAACCTGGAAGTGTGAATGGCCAGCGGACTTGCCATCATATTACCTTCTTGCCGCCATTGGGTTTCCTAGGACTGCCAATGTCTGCCATGGAAGGAAGGCATTGGCGGGCACCCGCGGAGGGAGTGGGATGATTAAGATGGCGCGATGGGGCCTGCGTCTGTTAGGCTTCTTCAGATAGACCACGGGGTACCCTCACGGCGAGATGTGGTTGGTCGGTACCTCTGCTCGTAACTTGGCTTGTCCCGAGCCCCTGACTTCTCGCCTGCAAGAGATCTCGGCAGCCTGCGCTAGCGGGACAGCGCTGGAGGGTCGCTGCCAATGCTGTGCGAGAAGAGAGTGCAGATCACGAGAATCATGGCAAGTGGAAATGTGATCAAATCTTCAAGGGCCCCGTCACACTCTGCCTTCACAAAATTTTGTCTAGACTGCCCTGGTCACATTCACATAGCTGAATGGCGAACCGCGCCACGCCGAACCAGGAACACGAACGAGAAATTGTCCGAATCAATGGGATCAAGCAAAGATAGAGCTTTTCCCAGGTGTTTGTGTCAACTGTTCCCCAGGGGCACCTGCATGATATGAGACTGTGCACGGAAACCTGTCCCGAGCCGGCACTTGTACGGCGGCTCGTCAGTGCAAGTGTTTACCTAGAGCTTCCCCGCTCTTACAGATCCAAGCGGTTCCCGGGGGAGGGGGCCTTGCCTCATTCATCAACATCTCGTGGGTTAGACATCAGTTCGTGATGGCAGCGAGAGAAAGCAAATGAGAGGGATGTGAGAAGGCAAGGTGACTGTGACGGCAGCGACATGCGAGATGGTCAAATGCAGGTCCAGACTCGATGCCCATGTGTCGCCCAATCCGTAGTGTACCTACAGAGCTACACTAGAAGCGTGATCTGGTTCTTGGCTTATATGCGCCCTGTGATTGGCCAGAAAGCGGTAATGAACCACCCTACACTGTCGGTTCGCAGTTTGTTTCAACCTCCAGCAACGTTTCTTCCAATTCAACGATCAATAACTCCTTCACGCCAACATCCAATTTCAAGTCAAAGACGGACCAAACACATCCGCGAGTTGGACATCCTTTATATGTCACCCGCCTACATCAACAACGAGCTAGGACCAACTTCCATCTCTAACGCGCCGTCATATCATGCGGCCATCCAGGTGACCGTCAACTAGCAACGACACCCAGATCCACAGTTCTTACACGTATTAGGCATGGTCACTTACCGCCTTTCGGAGTTGCTTTCAACGTCACTCGACAAATTCAACCATCTCGATCTTTTCATTTTCGTATTGAGACTTGAGCTGCTCGTGAACAGGATATAGCGAACAGGAGCGCCAAGGTTGCTGGTGTTTCCTGTCTCATTTCATGATGGACAGGAGAATTTATATTTACACTTGCGAAATGAATGCCTTCCAAAGGTTGCTTCATGAACTCAAGAGAAGTTCGCTCTTTGACAGTGCCTTCTAGTTCCGGCCGGCCTACGGCACCGGAAATTATTACGAGACACGGGGTTTTCAAACGTATCTTCCTCAACGTAACACTTCAATAGCTATCTCCAGGGCACAAAGATATTGTGAAGGTGTAGCAATTACACCATACACCAAACAATCTTGATTGGACAACCATACTCCAACGTCACGCTAAGCCATTTCTGTTGCTCTACGAATCGCCCTAAATGGTACCGTACCCCGTCTCACTTGTTAAACTGCAGCACCGTGCAGGATATCTTCCACCAAATCCTTCGCTCTCACGTTCGAGATTTCAATGTTGGCGCTCAAATGCCATTTTCATAGGACCATACTAGTGTCCGCCCTGCCAAAAGTCGATCATGAATTTTATCTTGGACTTGAATTCGGTTGAATGCTTGGGGAGACATCAACATGAGCCGTCATCTTCTCTCTAGAAATTCCAAGGGGGCACATATGCATCGCTATCAAGGTTACAGCAAAAGGAGGTGTCAGGATGATTCGGCTTCTTGCCTAAATACGAACACAGTTATCATGTTGGTGAGCAGTTTAGTGTTGCCCGAGCACCCCGCATAGAGAACATTTGCAATGTATCACTTGGATACAACCGACGGGATGTGAGGATTATCGGCATGTTTTCTATATGCGATCTGAGCTTGGATCAGGATGATGGGGGTTGGTGGACTAGCTACAAGCTAGATCCCCTGTGTTGTGATTTTTGAGCTCCCTAGGCATCTATATAGCGATTTCATATAAAGCCTCGAAAGCGGTAGTTTATGTGGCTTCATTGTCAATCGCTGTACCTAGTCATCGACGCCCATGTGGCTACAGACAAGTGCACGTCTATTGACGACATCGAATGGACGAACTTCAATACCGTGACCCCAAGGAACCTCGAGCAATGAAGCGTCTTGTCCGTGACTTACGGAGAGAGGCCCGAGGCAAATATCAGAACCATCCCAACGTGGCTGCCTTCAAGATGAACTTCGTTCGGGGCGACATGTTTTCCACGTGCGCCATCACCATTCCACCAACAATTTTATGGGTTGGTACGGCTACGAGAGGAAGATAGCCGAGAACTACCATGCCATCTTCAACGCGACGCTATTTCTATCCTGTGGCCCTGCAACCCTCGACCTCTCACACCTTTACAAGCTCCAGCCATCACCGGAAGCTGACTCTATGAGAAGCTGTTAGCGGGGACGCTGATTGAGTATGGAGAAGAGAGATGTGGAAGCTGAGGACTATGTGATGAGGGATGGTGATGAGGGGGACGCGACTGTAAATGTTGTCGAGCAGCTTACGATGGCGGGGAGAAGAAGGGGTGGACGGAGACTGTGGCGGTGGAGGAAGTATTACCTACGCCCACTGAGTAGGTAGTCTATCTTCCGATACGAAGTAACTGAAGGATTTCTTTCCGAATGATTGTCGCAATAAAAATCACAAACCATGATGCCTTGCTCCTCTTCATGTGCCCATCGTCTACAGTCTCAACTCTGTAATGACGTTCAACAGCCCTCTCTTGAACACTATTACCTGCCCCAGCAATGTAGACCGATGTGTAGAGCAACGCTGTCCCCAAACAACATGAAGCTCTACCAATGCGCACATTACCTACCTTTCCCTCGTATCTCTTTCTTGAGGTCATTTCGTTAAGTTGCCGCAGAAAACACCTTATTTATTTCTCTCAGTCCCCGTAACCGAGGGAGATCCCGCCATTCAGCGGCACAGAAGATGATGAAACCGTTGCCAGCGCCGCCACACACGTGCGTCTTATCGTCCTGTTCCTTCCGTGGGGGAATTTGGGTTCAGGCGGGGTTCGGGTCCCCATCAAAAAGCAAAGAACTTTAGTCCCCGATTCCAACGCCGTACACACATCAAATCTGCGGAGTACAGATGATAATGTATAATGTCATGGAGTTGTGAACTTCGTTTCTTTCTTTAGGCGACGATCAATCCAACCGGCCTGGTCCGCAAACATTGCCAATGAAGTCAATACAAATGTCAGCATGTCAGCACACCCAGTCTGTGTTTGGTAATCCTGCCGAACATTTGTTGCGCCATATTTCCCCTTTGGGATAACAGTCTCAAGCTGGGTCTCAACTCGAATCAACTACGATTATGCTTCCCCAAAAATTTTTTAAAAAAAACCACCGGCATACGCAAAGGTCCTTGTTTCGTAGCACCTGAATTAGGAAAATGGTCTCGGATGGAAATCTCTGATTACCTCTAGCCTCTTTGCCAGGACAAGGAACAACGAGGACGTTGTCGACGAGCTGTCCGAATCGAGTCATATAAAATCATACAAAGCCAGAAGCCCCAGTGGTTCGTCACTTCATCATTACCTATCTTTCTTCCATTGTCATCATCTCGCTCAGATCGCACTATCCACCATCTATCCAACCGACATCCACGAAACAAAAAAAAAAAAAAAAAAAAGGCACACATCTCATTCATTCATTCGACACCACCACCACACATAGCCAACCGCATCAACGACAACACCCACCGCATCCATCAACTGGCAAAAGAGTCCTTCAACAGCCCAAAGCCATCATCACCCACCATCATTGCACCAATCTACGACCAACCAAAAATGTCATCCCCAGCAGAATCCCGCATCCAATCCCAAAAACTCCGCTACTGCCGCTACATCGACACCCAACAATTCCCCCTCCTAACCTCCCTCATCCTCCCTTCTTGTACCTTCAATTTCATCGACTATTTCTCCTCCTCGCCCATCGTCGAACCGTCCGCCGCAGGGCCCGTCACCTTGGCTTTCGACTCCCTGGCGTCTTGGACCGCATACTTCTCCGACAAATTCAAAGCCCTACAGACGATGCATCTGGTTTCGGGGGCGGGAGAGTTCACCAGCATCAGTGAGGATGAATACGAGGTTATCTTTGCAGTCATTTATCATGCGGCGCCAAAGGAGGGTGAGACAGGGTGGCAAGGGGCCGGGGGTGGACATTATCATGAGCGGTGGGTTAAGGGGAAGGATGGAGAGGGGAAAGAGGATTGGTTTTTGAAGAGTGTGAGGTTCGAAAGGTTGTATTGGAAGTACACTGAGTGAGAGAGGTTGGAAGGTTTGGCGGATGTTCGAAGTCGGAGGAATGGCTGGGAGGGGAAATTCGGGAACAACAAGAACGTCGTTAGGTGTGCTCTGTCTAGCTGGAAGGAATCATCGAATAAACGACAAAGCAGAGCAGGGAAGACACGTTGGGGTATAGCAATCTGAATGAAGGTGTTAATTGAATCTCGCTCGTGACCTTGTTGAAAGGCAGCAACACGATTAGTTGTCTGTTGAGAGCTGATGAGCTCGATGGAAAGAAGGACAGACTATTGAACATGAAATTACATTGCAGTTGTTGAGGCCCGTGGATGTAAACAAGTCCAACTCCTTGGTCCCAGTTTTATTGTATATTGGGCAGACACCCTCTCCTTTGATGGGAATTCAGGGGTAGACCGCGACACAGATGCCGTGGGGCTGATATTGACTCTTGATGCTCTTGTCTTGAGTATGTTGTGAACAGAGATCACTCTGTCGGTTGAGAAAAGCGGTACGGTTATCTCCCCTTCCAGCGGCTCGGCCCATCAAGCTCAATACCAGGGGCTCAATCTATCCCAAGGCTGTCCAGCACTCTTTACTTCCCTTTCACTATCAAGTGTGCCGGGGCGGCGGTATCGGGGGGAAGCTGAGCGGCAACGGATCGAAGGGTCACCAAGAGCTATTCATATCGCTCATGTCATGCTTGAGACTACTTCCTCCTGTCATACCAGCGACACGGTTGTAAAACACTAGGTACTACCACCTGCATAGAACGCCGAAGAAGCACCAGATTGCTCGGACAACAAAAGAGTGTCCCGTCGAATCAGGTGAAAGACCCGTAGGCGACTTGCATGCGTGGTGTTGCTATGAGTATCAAGTGTCACAGTAGCGAACCCAAGCATCGTCAAGCTTTTTGGCCAAGGTCCCAGGTGTTGAGTTGACCGAAGCGGGGCATGCTGATATCAGCAATGAACTCAGCGCGTGTAGTGATGGATTATGACAGATTGGAACTGTGCGGCAGGACGTTTGCTGTCAAGTGGTGAGCGACAAGCTGGCTTGAACCTAAGGGTTATGTCCGCTGGAGAGATGCACTTTGAACGACATCTCCCTTTCCACACTCGGCGAGTGTCCAAGACGAGCAGACATCAGGCGATGCCTCTTGCCCTCTCCTTCAAGTCCCCTTTCACCATATTGAGTTACTATTCCCCAATCTCTTGGTCTCTTGGTAAGAACTCGCCCAACGAATTGAGTCGAGAGTCTGATAAGCAACAGGCAGCGAGGTTAATACGTGGTAGCGTAGGGCCGATATCAGTAAAACAGAATCTTCAGTCGTTTCGGCCCCAGAGCCATATCACGGTTGTAGTTTATCAACCTATAGTGTGCAGTACAGCGGCAATACCAAATTGCTGGGTCCTTCTGTGGTGCCGTGTACCGTGTGCACGCCGAGGCCGTGCGATGGCAGTCATTCGCTGACGGACCGGATGATGGAACGAGAACCGCCAAAGGTGTGGCAACAAAGGAGTACATAGTTGGTAGTCGAGATGATGTGTCGTGCTTAGAGACGTCGCCATCATAGCCTTGATTGGGCTCGATCCTGGGTCGAAGACCTCTCCGAAACATGAATCGAACACGGAGTGATAATAATGGCTTTAACCGGGTAGACAATACCCATGGTGCCTGTGGATGGTGTTGTTGATTGCTAGCGAAAGGCGAAGATAGCAGCGCGTCGGCAACTGGACGCCAGTGCGGCATCGGCACATCAACTATGCGATAGGTTAGGTACTCACGCTGCATCGCCCTCGTCACGCACATTGTTCATGTCTGGTTGTAAACGGCATTCAAGTCCAACAAGTGACGTGACATGGCAAGGTTTCCTGGGTTCCAGCGGGCGGCTAAGGCCTGGTTGTCCAAAGTCCATAGTGGAGCTTATGACGACTTGGTTCATTTCTTTTCTGCGCTTTCGAGAAAAATGGCAAACATCGAGAGATGAAGACGGCGTTGAAAGGGGGAATCATCTTCGGCATATCGAATACATACGCAGTACATTTAGCCAGCCCAGCTAGATACGTATGTACAGTGCCTCAGCTCCGGTCTTGTCCACTTGATGGTGGGTGGGGGTTGGCGGCGTAGGATGTGTGTGGGATGAGGCGTGAGACACTTGTCGTGAATGTGTGCATCTCATCAATGTCGCGCAGCACACAAAGAGAGCCATCCAACGGTTGGGGTCGCGGAAATGATGACCACCTGTGTGTGACCAACGATTACATGTTGCAGTGGAAGCGAGAACATGTGGTGCAACGCAAGAGAGTCGGCTGAAGACTTGGTTGGTTGGCCCAAGACGAACAACCATCGAGGCCGCTTGCCCAAGTTGCCCTCTTTGCCTTCTTCTCACAGCCACAGCCTCTCTGAGAATATCACGACGGACGTCTTGATGGCCATCCAACTGAGGACCAGCCAGGAGGTGGCCTGTTCAGTCGGGCCATTTCCATTCGCACCTGTCTTCGGCTGATGATGATCGGTAGGGAGTGATCGAAACTGGTGATAGAATCTTTGCCGGATCGGGAGGGGCCGTCGGTTGATGAAGAAGAAAAGGGAATTTGATGAGGAGATGAAGTGATGTGACGAGATTGTCGCTGTTGCCGGACGGGACGAGCCCGACAAGTGGAGCAAAAGAGAGGGAAGCCAGGAACCGAGCGTGAAAAGGCTCGAAATGTTCACGGTGCTCAGCGATGTGCTCACTGTCTGCTCACGGCGACGTGCTTAGGCCGCTGGGGGCCCTTGCAGGCAAACCACCGCCGACGTCGCATCTCGTTTTCCTGATTGGTCAATGACGTTCCTGCGCAATGCATGGGCCGTGATGGGGCCAGATGGTTTTGTGCCTCTGAGCTACAGCTTCCCGGTCTTGGCAAGCCCGCAAGAGTCCCAAACTCTCAAGCCTCCATCCAGAGCGCAGAACAATCATGCATTTCACCCCCACTTCACAAGTCAAGAAAATGGTCTCTTGTCGTCACGGGACGGGGCTCTTGGGGGACATGTCGGCAGTCGTGCCGATGCCTCCATGATGCTGTGATCGTGTCCAAGGAGAGAAGATTTCGGTCCAATGGTGAAGAGACCTTTTCTCACCACCCCCGTGATGGCCCATGGTCCATGGTGCCCGTTTGGTCGTTACGGCAATTTGGACGCCAATCACACCTCACTAGACTTCGAGGCTTCTCGCTCCAGGTCTCGTCGAGTGAGCTTGTCTGTTCTGCCTCTTCTGTCTCTGCCCCTCCACTCCCTCGCCAAAAGCGACCCTGTTCCGGCAATTCCCCCCCCAACCCGTTCGGTCCCGTTCATCGCGTCCGCCAACCCCAGGCCTTCAGGGGAACGGGAACGGGGGCCGTTGCCCGCTGTTGAGGTCAAGGTCTGGCAAGATCTTCGATATGCCCTGGACGCGGACCCCAACTCCTCAACCAATGGCTTCTGCTAGAGGTGCTCGAGTCCAGACTGTCTCAATCTCACTGTGCCCCCTGCACCTTTAAACTCTCATATCACAATTACGAATGCCTGCCTCTGACGACCTTCCTAGCTTTTCAACATCCTTCCCGTCTTGATCACGGCTATCTGGGTCCCCTGTTGGAAACCAACAGCCGCAATTCTGTCAGCTAAAGAGGGGACATGTACCTGCTGTAAAGTCTCCGGGTCAGCATCATTTCTTCTCGCGTCAACAAGCTTCTGTCATATACCTGGTTTCCTTTGATACTGGCGGCCCTTTCCCACCCCGCGCTTTATCCCCTGCCTCCTGCTTCCTCGCTCGTGACACGAAGAAAGCCGATCAACTGTCTTCTACGCACCAACTGCGGATGATAGCATACTAGCCATGTCGTACAGAGAAACTCTGTGGCAATAAATGAGCACTTTCCGCTACCTACACCGAATCTCCGCACACAGCATATCATCATACGTACGGGCGTCAGAGTGGGAAGGACGGAAGATAGGAAGCGTGGCGCGGAAAATCGATACCACTGGACCGGATCTCGGACAAGCACTGTCAAGCAGGCCCACTCTCGCGACCGACCACCAGGTTTTTGCGACACGGAGACGTACGAAATATACAGGGACGAAAACCGAACAGACGACCTCAAGAAAGATCACGGGTCAAAATGGTGGGCGGTAATGTCCGTCCGTCACTCTTCATTGTCACGGCTGCCGTGGCATTAGCACCATTGACAACGGCCATTTTCACAACTGCTGGATCACCATGCGCTCAATATTGCGGCAACACTCTAGGAGCAACGGCCGGGGATGAAACTGTGTGCACACAGGACGAATATGACATGACCAACGCAGGAGCCGTGTACAAGGCGTGTATGCAATGCCAGATGACGAGTGAATACAGTCAAGGGAACGAGACAGATGTCAAGTCATTCCTATGTGAGTTGTTGCTTCGACTCAAAATGCATTCAAGCCGATACTGACATTCGACCTTCTCTTAGATAACCTCCGATATAATCTTGCTTATTGTCTGTGGGGTCAGCCACATAATCCCCATCCAGAGGCTGGAAATAACCCTTGCATTACCAGGTAAGCCCGCTCTTGTCCATCCTACATTTCTAGCAACTGACAGCTTTTCTCTATTTAAAGTAAGGCATGTGAGCCTCTTAAGGACTCGGTCTTATGGCAAAATATGACCACCAGTACCGGCGCGTTTAGCTACTGTGATGATTGGGATGACCAGGCTGTTACTCAGTGCAATCATTGTCTGGCAAATTACGACATGGGAGGGAATTATTTGGTGAACTACGTCACTCTATTGAACGCATCCTGCACCCAAAGGCCCGAGGTAGGCTCAACCATATCCTTCCGCGGCGACCCCTTTGCCAACGAGTTCAACAATGTCACCATCACCGAGCCAGAGCCAAAGGGCCTCCCCCTGCCGGACTATGGCCCGATATCTTTGGGCGCGCGTGTCGGCATAGCCTTCGGTGGGCTTGCTCTCCTCCTGGCCGTTTTGGGCTTTGTCATTGTTTGCAACGGAAAACGGCGAAGGCGCCGCTTTTTGCGTGAACTCCAAAGTCGCAATGCCGGACAG